GGTTTTTAATATCTTTTTTTTTAACTAAAATTGTTTCAAAAATATTTTAAAAATATTTTATTTTAATAATTTTTCCTCTTTTGTTATTAATCTTCATTGCATTATTCTCCGTGTACTCTCTGTGAATGCGACCCATCTTCAACTGCCCTAGAAGAAACTAGCTTCTTCCGGGCAGTACTAAAAAGAATAAAATAATTTCTTCTGGATGAAACCGATCCCAATTATAAGGTGACAACAATATATTAAATACCATCGTTTCCAAAAGATAAGTACAGGTTCGTTGTTTAGTACTCTAGAAATATTTACGAGCTTACTAGCGTTTGAAAATATAGAGGCATTCAAATTATCAGAGACTGAATCTACTTAAAAGGTAAATAAACATTAATAATGTGGGCCCAGTTCAGTTTGAGTAACCAACTGATAATGTTGAATTCAAAAGTTATTTTTAAAGTGCAATGTATTTAATGGTCAAAGGAAACGTATCAATTCATTTCAAAGGGAAGTCTAAGAAATTTCCATAAACACTTCTGTGTCGGGAGGTATATATGATTCAAAAGATTTGGACATATCTCAGAGAAATGTATTCACGTTACTCAAAACACTTTTAATAGTTTAAAATTATAAAATAGTAAGGAAGTTGTTAAATATTCTTTACTAATATCATACATTCAAAATTTCGGCTAGTTGCTTTCATTATCTTAAAGCAAGGAATACATTTACTAATAGAAGGGGTTAGAGTATGAGAAAAATATGGCTTTATTATGGAAAATAACTCACTCATTATCATAATTTGTTTATGCTTCTTACCGTAACAGTTATTTATTTAATTATTTATTAACGACGAATGTTATCAGTAAAACTCAAATTTAAATTTTCAATTCAATATGAAAGAAATACAGGATGGTCATGGCCATAATTGGTGTAAAATTTAGGAAAGTTTGATAACAAGAAAAATGAACAAATTTTCCAGTAGACAATGGTGATTTGAATTTTTAAATGAAAAAAAAAATGGTTTTTTTTATCTTTGCCACCAGGAATTAGAAGCAACTTTTGACGTGAAATAGAAATACAATGTATAAACATTTCGCATTTACATGCGTTTCGTTGTTCATATCACATTTACATTCACTTCTAAATTTTAACTTAAATTTTAAAAAACTCTTTTCGGTTTATGCGCGTTTTACGTAGAAACGAGGTTGTATGTACTTTATCCTACTTCAATTAACCACCTGTATACTATTTGCTCATAAGCAATGAGTTTTTTAGAGAGGTACACTGTAAGAGAGGTACAATGTAGAGAGGTACAATGTTTTACTGTATTACATACTAAATTAAGAGAAATCGGTAACTAGTAGAAAAAAATAAGTGTTTTTTAAAAAAAATGATGCTTAGCTCATAAAATACAAGCTCCACTTTGCCTAATCTACTTCATCAAAACATTCAACGAATTAAAGTTATCCCACAACGACCCGCAATTTACCAGAAGATCTTTGAGATCTAAGATCCACAATTTTGTCAACATTAAGCATGGGCCGCCTTTACTTCTCAAAAAAACTTGTACCCATGGATCTAAAGCTGGGTGAGGTTTAAGCTGCCATAAGTTTCGATTTTCCCAGTCTACAATCATCAAAAAATTCTTAACGTTATTCATACATATTCTTAAAAATTAATTTTTAAAATCCAGTTGTTACAAAACAATAAATTTAATGCTACTTTTTTTAAAGTGAAAGATTTTTGTTTTAAATCCAAAATATAATGCAAAACTTTTATTCAATTGAGTTATTTCTCAATGTAATTTTTCATAAAACAAGAAATTCGATATGCAAACTAGTTAAAAAGTTTATATATTCTAACTATATAATACATTTTATGTTTTTGAAAAGAAAAAAAACTTGCATCTAATCTTTATTTTATAACATTAGGAATTTTTTTGAAGGGAAATCGAAAATTTAATACATATACTTCGTTTTAAGAGAAACAAATATAAGAAACAAGGAAAACTTATTGTTGTCGACAAAACAACATTACGCTCCAAGCTTTTTTAGTAAAGAAATAAATCTTAAAATTTGATAAAAAAATAGTTTTTGTTGTCTTTCTTTTTTATTTTTGGTCTTCTTTTCTTCTCTTTGTTGCATTAATTAGGCGATTTAGAAATTGAAAAAGTTTTTCTTTTATATAAAAAAACTTTCTAAGCACAAAGAAGTACTTCCTGATCTTTTTTTTAAAGGTATGTTTTGTTAACAAACATATTTTAATGTAAAATGTAAAAGTTCCATTATCAAAAATATTGAAAGCTTCTTTATCGCTATTCATTTATAATATTAAATATAAAAATACACTTTTAACCAACAGATTTTAAACCCAGAATCAAATTTTAGCTATTTAGAATTTTTAACCATATTTTCCCTTAAACCATATTTTCTATTCAATTCAATTCGAATTAAAATCTTAAATATAGATAATTATTTGTATCATTTTTAATTGATGTAATTTTAAATTAAATTATTTCAAATCTTTAGCTGCTTTTCAAAATCTTGATTTCAATTCTTGAGAACTAAATTCTGATCAACTATTTTGAAATTTCGTGACAAATTTTAGAAATATTCATGAGAAACTTTTATTTTGTACATGCTTTATTTCTGTCCAGAGGTAATGATTATTTTTGTTTATTAATACAAAATTCTATTAAAATTACCGTACTGTATAGTAATGACATAATGATATTTCAGCTTAAAAAAATCTGATTAGTAAAGCAAAAATATAGAGTATTAAAATTATTCATTTGGCAGTTTTTATGTTCATATGATAACATTTTACCTGAAATTCTGGTTTTAAAAATTATTGTTCTTAATTAATTATAAGTTATTGTACCACACAATTTGTAAAAATATATAAAACTGACAAGTGAATTTTACCAAATAAATGGTTTTATATCATGCTCTAATATAGTTTTACAACGTTTAATAAAACTATCAAATTAAAATTATCACATATTATAAAACTATTTTTTATAGTTAATTTTAAAAAATTCATTGCAAAAGGTCTTTCGCAAAAGATTACTGAGTTTTTAGGTGTTCCCTTGGAGCTAGAAATACGGTAAATTTTACTATTATCAGGTAATTTCGACCAGACTTTTTTTTCTCATTGTGAAAAGTTACAATTTACAGTTGCTTTTTAATACGTATTTATAACTGAAATTATAGTTGAAAAGATATTTGTTTTCTAATAATATTTAAAAGAAACATTATTATTGATATAAAGTTTGGTGCTCATTATTATCGATACGAAACAACAAATCTCATACACCTCAGAAATTTTTTATTATATACCTTAGAAATTTTATCTTATATACCTTAGAAATAAGTATATTCCTTAGAAATAATTTTGTGTTTCTAATAATATTAAATTTCATAATTACGAGTATAGTAAGTTTAATCCTTTGTACAAATATCCCCTTTCTAGAGAGGGTTCCTTTATTTCTCTTTTCAAGAAATATTCAAAATAAGCATAAATCAGATGATCATTTGAAAGACCTTAAGTTACAGGCAACTAATAAGCTATATGAAGATACTAAAAACAGTGTAAAACTTAATGCAATTGAAAAGATATTTTGTATAGTAAATTAAATTTCTCTTGTCTTATGCTACGTTTCAAGTGGATTAATTAAATGTAATTTATGCCATAAATCGCTCTATACAAGTATATTTTAATATTCTCTTGTCTTATGTTACGTTTCGAGTGGATTAATTAAAAGTAATTTATGCCATAAATCGCTTTATGCAAGTATATTTTAATTTTCTCTTGTCTTATGTTACGTGTAAAGTGGATTAATTAAAAGTATTTAATGCCATACATCGCTTTATGGAAGCTTATTTTAATTTTCGCTTGTCTTATGTTACGTTTCAAGTGGATCAATTAAAGGTAATTTATGCCATAAATCGCTTTAGGCAAGCTTATTTTAATTTTCTCTTGTCTTATGTTTCGTTTCAAGTGGATTAACTAAAAGTAATTTATGCCATACATCACTTTATGGAAGCTTATTAAATATATTTTGAGCAAAAACCATAAGTTTGTGTTTAATAGTACTTATGACCACCACTCCACACAAACACAAGGAGAAAAATGTATGCATTTGTAATGCTTTTGTATTTAGTGGGAGGAACAACAAATATCATCATTCACTTTTAAATCATGCACAGACAAACAAAAAAAGAATAGCTCATTAAATATTTCCCTAAAAATTAAAGAATTTTGATTTTTGAGTGGTATTTTATAGAATTTTTGTCAGCAGTCACATGAACAGAAAAAGATAGATACATGGAGAAATGGAATGAGAGAGAAAAATTTAATTCGGGAGAAACTACACAAATCATTTGCTTTCAAACAATGTCATCAAGGATGTAAAGCGAATACTGTTAAGCGTATGTATGATTTTAAAATGTATTTTTCTGTAAAAATTGAATTTTAAGTTAGTGTTGAATAGAGCTTTTGTATACTTTTACAAAAAGGGTAAGTGAGAGAGAGAGAGAGTGAGAGTGAGAGAGAGAGAGAGAGAGAGAGAGAGAAAAAAAGAAAGAAATGTACGCAAATGTAATATGGGTGAAACAACAAATATCATTTGCTTTTAAATCATGCGAGAAAGAGAGCAAAGAGGATTTGCCTATTAAACGCGCATATATATTTCACTTACATATAAATCAAGTCAGTGCTCAATAAACCTTCATCCACTGTTTCCAAAAAATGAAAAAAAAGAAAAGCGAGTGAAAAAAATGTACGCAAATGTGGAAACAACACATACTATTTAGTTTAAAATCTTACGGAGAAGGGAATAAAGAGAACCGAGTCCAAGAGAGAATAAGAAAGAGGAACAAGATCACAATAATAAGGATAAAAAAAAGGGGCACGCGACCGCCAGATTTTCTTCTCGGCCGTGAACCAAGGCCGCCGTCAGGGGGCGCCAGCCGGCAGACCAATTTGGCTCGAGCGCGCTACGTCCGAAAATCTTGCTTCAGAATCGCTCGAACCTCCCGAGCGCACCGATCTCCTTGCGTCATTGGAGCGGAGCATTTTTCCCACGCCTTTGAGGTTGTTAAGATTGTGGTTGTTAGAGAAAATAATTAAATTTTTAAAAATAAAAACTAAATCAAAGCGAGCCGCTTGAAATAGTGTTTTGTTTGTGTTTCTTCGTATTTGCAAATACTATAATTCTTGCATTTTTATTTTGTTTTGTTCTTTTTGGAATATTTCGAATCTGTTTGAATAAAAAAAAAAATTATGCTTATCAGTGATAAACTGGAAACATTAATGGATTTGTTTTGAATAATTTTTGAATCGTCGCCTGGTGCCATTAATTATTTACAACAACAGTGCCGTGCTATTTTGATTTATTTTCCTTGAGTTTTGGTTTTTTACTTTTCTCATTATTATTCGACTGTAACCAATAAAAGTTATCAGTCTCTTTGATTCTTTGAAAAAAGAGCAAACAAGTGAATTAAACATTGTTACAGTTAACATATTAAAGGTAAGTTCACATTTATTGTCATTTATTCGGTGTTTTGTAATATAATGCTTTTTTTTAATGCTTCCCCAGTTGCTTTAAATAATATTTAGGTTGATTGCTTATTATTAGGTTTTAAATTTTAATATACTTTTGCTTTCTTAGGTACATTTACATCTAGTCTTAATCATCAAATTTTTTATTTCGCAATTTCTATTTAAGATATCCATATTTAATTTAAAACACCTTTGGGCAATAAAAATATTGTCCCTTTTTTCTTGATAATGAAGTCACTTTTTCCGCGTGTCAGCTATTTAAAACATAATGACACTGATTTAATAGAATCATTTTTTATACTCTTACTGTATGTTCTCCAATGACATATTTGCATTTGGTTTGAGTACTATATTTTAATGATATCCATATATACATATGACAAACTGGGACTCAAATTTTATAAGCCATAAATAAAAATTTTAACAATTTTTTTTTTAAATTTTGCCTGATGATTCTAATTGTGGTTCGTAGTAATTAATCATGTTTTGATAATTTTTGAGAATTCATTACTTTAAAAAGTAGTCTTATTAAAAAGTTCTATAATTTAATCATTTTTCTAATATATTTGCAACATGCAAGAAAATTAAGTTACTTTTGAAAAAATAATGCTTTAACAATTCTTTTTACTTTCTATAAATCTTAATAAATCCTCCTATAAATCTTAATAAATCCTTCTTTCATAGTTTCTTTAATTTGCTTATAACTAGTGTTATATCTAATTATAACTCCCTATCTAATATATGCAATAAATTCATTTGATGGCATGCAGTGTAATTTTGCTCGGCAAAAATCTAATTCCAATTTTTAAAAGAAAAACATTAAAACAAAAACATATTTCTAAATTATAGTCAAATTCCTGACAAATCAATCTTGCATATAGCATGAATAAAACCAGCCCTAAAATAAGCTGTAGGATATGCATTACATTTGGTTAAATTTGATTGCACATTTTACAATCGTCTTCCTCACCAATTACACACCACAATTAACCAAATTAAAAAGATTATTGATAATGATCATGCATTGATAATGATCATGATACTCAAAAATAATTAGTAATTGAATTAAAAATCTGCTAATTACAAAAATAAATAAAATTTTCCGCAATCCCATTGGTTGTTAAGTTAGAAAATAAGTTTACTTGCTAAATTGCATATTTACAATAACTAAATAGTTTAAGAATAATTCTTCAATAATGAAGGAGATTTCGAAACTAACAGGATTTTAATTCCTATTAAACATCATATAAACCTCCTATAATAATCTCCTGCTATAAACCTATATTTAGAAATAGCGTACTTAATATAAATCAGATTTTTAATATTGACCTAGGCGCAGTAGAAACACTTTTGGTTATTGAGCCAAATATTTATAACTCGGAACAAATATGAAACGTGACGGAATTGTAAACTTAGGAAGATGTAGTTAATCTGATAGAAACATTTAAAAGTGATCTCACAGTCCTTGTAATTGCATACATCTTCTGAAAAACCAACCTTAACAACTCTGCTTGGACCAAAACATATTAATCTTAATATAATAAAATACGTAAAAAAATATATAATAATTATAATTGTATAAAATATAATTAAACATTCTGCAGCAGTAAGGAACGCAATAGAGGTTAAGGTTACTCAATCTCGAGGAAGACGGTATGATGATTGGCAACATGATGCACCGGCCGCCTTTATTTCAAAACAATCTAGCAACCACCGATCTAACCTGGAAAGGCAATTCAAGTCACTTACAGGGTGGAGCCCCATTCCCTCACCATGAAAGCTCGGTATTTTAACCAAAGTACCATCATGGCGCAAAGTTTCATTAAATGTTTATAAAGAAGGAATTCACAATTTATTAATATTTGCTTTTACACGTTTTTTTACCAGACCATAAAATCTATGTACCATGAAATCTATGCTTACTATGTATACCAGTATTATTTAAATTGAGTAATTCAGTGATTTTACCGTAGTGATTACTTTAAAAGTTACTGCATATCAGATTTTTTTTTGTTCCGTGTCATGTTCCAATCAAAATAAATTTTACAGTAAAAAATACCGACATCCTCAATGCTGATACTTTTTACCGTAATATGATACGTAATTTTTTACAGTGCGGTATCATTGCGAAACTCCTTTTTTCATTACATATTCCGTTTTATCTCCAAAATAATACTTGTCTAAAAATGTAAATTTGTTTGAGTAAAATTCAAATGCAGATGTTGCAAAAGAAAATAATTAAAAAATTAAGTTAAATCTATCGTGAGTAAATGGGTAACTCAACAAACAAAATTTCTTATCAAATTGCTTAAAAAAAGTCAAAAATATCGACACATAAAAAATTGATTGACCTATTTAAAAAAAAATTAGTAACCGAAAAAAATATTTTCTACCTTTATTTTACCCAAACTATAAAATTATCGATGGGGGATTTTTTTTTATAAATAAAACAATCCCGCGATCTCAATATGCCCTTCCTAGTAACATTTGAATTTTACCTCAATAGCCAAATCCGATTCTTTGGCTTTTAAAATTTACATTCAATCAAATATAATTGCTCAAAAAATAACGTGACCTCTATTTTTACAATAAAACCGTTCATAAATAGAATTTAGCCGAAAAAAATATTTAAAGAAAAAAACATATTTTTCGCAAACCACTTGAAAAATTGTTTGAATTGCAAGTATAAGTAATTTATGTCACAAATCAATAGACAGTAATTCTTTTTTATTTAATAGATTATATCTAATTCAACCGTTGATGATAATTAAAATGCTGATATTAAATAGTGTTTAATCCTTGATTCTATAATTTAAAACTTAAACCTTAATTTACATGTCAAACTATTCTCATGTAATTCTTCACGAACCTTTCCACCTTCTTAAATGCTGGCAGCATTTGATTAAGTCAGATTTTTCAACAAGATAAATTCCGTTAACTTTTTAAGGTATTATAGTTTTAGATTCTCAAAATAATCAGTCTATCGTTAAACCATAGTATTAGTACCTTAAACCTTATATCGTGCTAGTTTGTGTCGAGATAAAAAATATGTTAAATTAAACCATTTTCAGTTCAAATTGAACCAAAGTATTGCATAAATTTAAGATTGGTTGAGTTTGCACGCTACTATAATTCTACTTAGCACCATATAAAGTTTACAGCAAATCGACATAAATCGGCAAAATCTCTAACTGTGTGGTTAGGTTTTCACTTATTCAACAACTTAAATTATTTTTCCAAACTATCTTATTTGTATTTGTAAAACCCTAATTCACTCTAATTTTTACTATCATTTTCTGAAGAAAAAGAAAAGATCAATCTGCAATATATTTTGTAAAAATCAAATTCTCAATATATTCTATATGCGCTTGTCAAAATATGAATCATTTCCAAATGCCTCTAAATCTAAACTACTTCCTCCCTGACTAGAACAAGCATTCTAGTACTATATTCCCGAAACCATTTCCCTAAATCAGGACACAATCCGTTTTGAAAGCCGGTCATACATGATAGGCCTAAGTTGTGCCTATGTTCTGCCATTCGGTGACAAACCTAAATCATGTTCCTATGTCCTCAACTGGCTGCATGCTGTACTAGCTCACACGGCATTCCACCCTTACAATTGTAGTCTGCCATCATTAGCCAGGAAACGAAATTATTCAGTCTAGCGCTCAACTACCAACCACGGCTTGTCATCGCGTTCTGTAATCTACTTCTGATTGTCGAGTACCTTACAGACCCTAGATGCAATTGGACTGAGAGAAAGACTTGGATTACGATATGGGGCTTAAATTCGTTAAAATACTATGTTTGGATCTAATGTTAAAAGAAAGACTTAGATAATAATTTAGCATAGAATTCTTTTATTTTTATACGTTTGTTTTTGGAATTTAATTTGTTGCTATCGAATTTAGATTTCAAGTGCCATTTTTTAAAATCTCGTGCAATTTAAATTTAATTAGGTTCATTTGAAAACAATGTTTAAATTAAATTTTTTTTAAAAAATACGTTGTTAAATTTAAACTAAGTGCTTATAAATTTGAGACGGGGACAATACAGTTAAAAATTATTTTAATGCAAAACTTTTGCGGGTTTAGTAAAACTTCAATTAAAATCGGCTTTAATTTATTATTGCTTAGAATTTTTCTAATTTATAATAATAATGCTTTGATAAATGTATAATTTAATTATACATTCTTTTAAAAATTCTATTCTGAACATCTAATGAACTTCTCTAAGAATCATACAACATATTAGATTAAATTTGAAATATGTTTATTTATTTCTTATTTGTAAGAATGATTTAGTTTTAGAAATTTAAATCGAAACAATCTGTTTCGTAATCAAATCTTAAAATTTATCTGGTAACTATTCTAAGAACTGAGAATAATTAAAAGAATTTTTTAGCATACAACAATTTTAAGGTTTTAGAAAATATCGAAATTTAATAAAAAAATATATATTCATATAACAATTATTCTAAATAAATTTAATTTTGTTAAAATTACGGAACATTATTGTACAGAATAGTTTGTAACAATTAGTTTATTGTTACAGACTAGATATAGTTTTAAATACTTTGTAAATTTTACACACAAATTACCTAATCAAATTGTAATGAATTAGCTTTTATTAACTCAACATGTAATGCTCCCACCCACCCAGCCATGGCAAAGCACCTTGTGACATTTTTTAACGGTTGTGACAGGAATATCACGTAGACGAAGTCAGATGACCATGGTCAGGTACCCCTCTTTTCGCAACCAACGAGAGGAATTTAAGCCACTATAAACTTAACGTGCACCTATCTGCGTATACACGCCAGTAGTTTTGACGGTGACCAGGATCGAACTTACGACCATCAGTTATCCACTAGCGGTGTTAGCGGTGCCTTAACTAATGGCGCTACCGGAGCACATGTTTATTTAAATTAAATGTTTATAACATGTTTAATAAATGTTTATTTAA